AAGAAAGCTAAAAACTACAAAACTAAAATAAAAAAAAAATAAAAACTAAAATAAAAAAAAAATAAAAAAATCCACAACTGCATTAAGTCAGTGGACAATGTTAAATGATTATAATAGATGCAAAAATTATGGAGAAGATTATAATAGCTAAAATATGTTGCCAATAAATAGAGCCCTGGAATCACACCTTAGTTGGCAAAAATATTTACTGTTTTTCCTCATGATGATACTTTTATGGTGAAATATCCATTTGCTGAAAATGTAAGTTTTTAGTTCTTATCATTATCAGTTACCCTTTTTGTTTCCCTGGAAAGAGAAAAGTTATAATTAGTCAAAACAATAGACTCCTTCATCTCTACAAAGTGTAAGTCAAATTATTAATCTGAGCTTCATTAAAAGTAAAAAAAGATCAATCTCTACGCAAAATGTTAAAATCATAACACAAAGATGTTTCACACAGATTCAGTTCAGCTCTTCAGAATCAGGGTCAATCAAAAGCACACATAGAAAAGTTGGAGGATTTAATCTCAGCGCTCCTCTTCCCCAATGGTAGCTGAGACGACCCGATCATCAGAGTTCATTCTCTAATCCAGAAATCTCTGCCAATACTTTCCATCAGCCATCAGGTGGTCATCTAACACTTGGACTTTCTTTCTTTTTCTTTTTTTTTAAGAAAAGTAATATCAAACACTTAGATACCCATTTTTTTTTATTTTTGATTAAAATAGAACACATTACAACACATTTCCCTTCTCATTCATGTTGTATGATTAAAAAAAAAAGCTAATGTCAAAGCTGATGTCAGACATCTTCAGGTGGGTGTCTTCATCTTTCTGTTGATGTTGGTCCCTTATACAGGTGACTTTTTGTATGCGGTTCAATGGGTGGTCTGCAGAGCAGCTGGTCCTCAACATACAGTATCAGGTGGACTACTGATGTGTTAATTGACCAATCAGAGGGGATTTTTCTGGTCCTTTATTCTGATTTGTTTTGTTGAAGCTTTTCCTGGTTCCTTCCAGATGAGCTCAGAGAAGCTCTGATCACTTTCTTTTGATGACTTTAAGCCACACCTGCTCGTGCTGAAGGATGGAAGGATGGCTGAGAAGGTCCTCCATGAGGGTCTCCAAGGCACCTTGGTCCTTCTGTAAAGCCGTCTCTGACTAAGGGAAAAAAAGGTCTTGTAGGTCATTTTAATGTGTCACCTGTCAGTCCCAGTCTGGCCAGAGGTCAGTTGTCTGCTCCGCTCTATGGTCCAGGAAAACGGTCGACCCGTCATGAGCTCATGGGGAGGAAAACTGGGAGATTCATGGAACCCTTAGCCAACGGTAAAATTGATGCTTCTCAGTCTATTTATACGCAGGTACTTTAACTCTAGTCAATAAACAGCGAACCAGTTACTATTCTGTTCTAAGCCAACCATTTATAACTTTCTGTCAGGTGCTATTTCAGTCCTAATTCTGAAAGTTAGGATGTTTTTTCATTTTTTATCATCCTAGATTTAAATCCATTAAGCAGGTTTTAGGTTTTATTTATTTTAAAACATACTTGTTTTAAATGTGCCAAAAATTATTATTATTTCAGTCTCTCAGGAAAATATGCCACTTTGATTCAAATCTTTCAGGAATACATTTATTTTTATTTTTTTTGCAAATCTATAATTTTAGTTAATAAACTCATAGCTTTTATATATTTTAGTGGCATTTTCCAAACTACATCCCAGCTTGTCAAAAAGTTTATGATAATAAAATGAAAAAATAAAAATAAAAAAATAAAGTTGATCATCTTTACCATATAAAATAAGAAGCCTTTTCAGGAAAGGAATGTCGTCTCGTCAGTCGCCCCACTTCATCCTTCACTTTAAGTCACGTTCCCCTCTCACCACATACTTTTCTCATCTAATTTTCTTATATTTGCTTTTATCATCAACCTCACTTTTCTCTATTTAATTTTGGGTTTTTTTAAATTTGATTTTAGATTAATTCCTCCATTTTACAAGTTTTTTTCTCTTTTAAACTTTTAATTTGACCTTATTTTATGCCCTACTTACTTTTTTCTGTAATAATTTTGTTAGCTATGAGTTATTAATTTCCTGTAAAAATT